TTTTTTTTTTTTTTTTTTTTTTTTTTTACTTTATACAAATGCTATTGGCCAAAACTTTATTGGTTATTTGATAGTAGATAATGATACATATTGTGAGGATACAACTAGTCATATGTACAATTTTAGATTGTCTATTTAAGTAGTTCGCTCGAAGGTTCTACACTAGTTGCAATACCTGAAATCTATTTGAAGATTCCCTATTTAAACCTTCTGGCCCTATGACTTACCCATTTCTATCTATTTATACCAATTTAGCCTAACTCCATGCTACTTCTCCAGGAAGACACCTGAGCTGACATATGTCCACAAACTTTATGATTCGAAGCCTAGGCCCATCTCAGATATCCCTTCACCAACTTCCAAATCGATGAGTGCTGTGGTACTCAACTATGCTATGCTATATCATAATTTAGCTTGCATATACCCTTGTTCGATGTTCGTATAAACCCAGTTCCTACTGTGGTCTTCCACTAAGTTAGTCATCCGTGCTTCCAGATATCACATGAAGTAGATCCTCCCAAATCTGTTGCTTGGTGTTATCTGCTTTGCCACCAGATATCACACGAGACAGATCTTCCCAAATCTAGTTAGCTGCCAAGCCAGGTTGGTGTTGCTATATGACCTCATGTAATGGACTTACTCGCACCTGTTTCATCGATTCTTCTATACTCAGGACTTACTCATATCTATTTTGCTAATCTTTTCATATGCAGATTTCCTTTCTCAGATCAGACGTTAATTGGTATGACTGTTAAAATCCGTACTACTTTACCTAACTCGGGATTTCTACCATGCAGGTCCTCTGCTCGTAGATCCTATCAAGATTTATTTGTGTAACATTACGCCTCGCCAAACGCCTCATCACACTTCCAATACCCGATTGGCATTGGTACAACATGATTTACAGGGTTACAACCCCAGAAACGAGCAGAGTTTACCGTAAGTTAGATACAGATGTCTAGGTAATTATTCAATTCTGTATACAGTGGAATTTGAACCCTAAACCTCTTGCATAGCGGTCTGGCAACCTAACCACTACACTAAGATCGCCAGACCTAATACACATGTTAATTACATTATTGATAAGCAAAATTGTACTATAGCAAAGTAAATAAATCATAATAATGCTTATCTATCTATGTTACATTTGCTAAATTAATCCTTATTATATTTGATAAGCTGATAAACTAAATATAGCTAAATTAATTATTGTAATTAGCATGTTATTAAGAAAAGACTTAGAAAAATAATGAAAAAGAAAAATTACAGAAAAATTATAATATTTCTATAGATATTACACTAAAACAATTCTAAAAACTTCAAGATTAAATTTCTAAATTATCAATTAAATAAAACACAACTTCACTACCTTCCTTTCCATTTAACTACAATACTAAAAATACTGCTATATCTTCTACAAACTTAAATTCTCTTAGCCAACAAATTCCGGGAAGTTTCAAGAACACGGAACCCAGTAATCATCACATCACAAGATCAAACACTCGGCCTAAGTTAGGATTAGTGTTAGGGTTAGTTTAGGCAGCCGATTTATTAGTGCTGGTAAACAAATGACGTCATTGCATGATTTCACGTGATTTAGTGATCACTGGGTTCCGTGTTCTTGAAGTCTCCCTATCTAGACTTAGATTATTATTATTTACTAATGACTGTAGTCCAACAGTCCATAATGAAATCAAATACTATCCCATTCGAATCCGGATTGGCGGGAAATTTAATCAGAACGAAAGTCGGGTTCGAAGAAAAGAAAAAAATCTCTAATATTTTGTGGCTTAAGTCTCCTTCAAGGTCAGCAGATAATTCTTGAATTTCGTATTTAACACTTTACAAAAGTGTAGCTTTATCAACATCAAATAATAATGCGTAGTTAGCTTTTCCATGATATAGTAAATGATATCGACATTTAATTGTAAGTCTATCAGAAGTGAAAAGCAAAAAATTTTATTCTAAAATCGAATTTTCATAAAAATGGCCTTTTAAACTAACTTTGTATATTTGGAAAATTATGATATTTACGTATTTCATTATAGGCCAAAAGTAAGTTTAAAAGGCCATAAAAGGCCATTTTACTGAAAATTCGCTTCCGAATCACCCTTAATAGTCGTTTAATAACCAACCATCCTCAACACCCGAGAATTTTAACAACAGTACAAGTACTTCTTCCTACTGTTTAGAATGGCAGGTTTATTTATTTTTATTTGTCTTTTCTCTTTTCTAGACACTAAGGGCATTCTCGAACAGTACCCTCAATTTGATTTGAAAGTGATTGAGATGTTGGAATTAATTGAAGTTAGTTATCACGATTAATTAGGATTTCAAATTTAGCTAATTAGCGCAGCTCTATTAAAAAAATATATGTAGTCACAGCTCAAATTAACGATCAATTTTTTTAACCAATCAGATAATTCGGTAAACTCATCGAGGAAGGCGCTTGAGAACGGCCTAAAAATGTTCTAGGAGCATAATAGTTGTCTATAAAGAAAAAACTAAAAAACTAAAAAATCAAACGGCCGATATGCCATGAATTTCCGTTTTCTTTGTAGGGGTACCCATTAATGTAATTAAGAATGTTGACTAATTATAATAGGTATTTCAAATTAATGATTTGACACCTAATTTCGGATGAAATAAGTGCGTGTTTATTTCGAAAATAAATGACTTCCAAATTATATTTTAAGTACATGTTTATTTGTAAACTGATTTTTCATAATCCCGATTTTGAAATTTTTAAAAATACAAATAGGTTTTTTAAATTCACATTTATTTTCGAAACACCCTAATTATAGCATTACTTTTTATTATTATACCTCATTTGACGACTAATTTCTGGCATCCTAATTAATAATGTTTAGATTATTATTAATTATTTTTAGTGAGTAATTATTAAAATAAAGACCGTCATGTTTTTATAAAACAAAAAAGTTTTTAAAGACCAACCCAGCACTAGTCATAGGACCGGTTCAGAACTGAGATATTCCAACCCTAATCACAGCCAAATAAGGTCTCTAGAATCTAAACTAAATTAAACCAAATCAGGATAGACTAGACAGTGACCAGTTTGTTAACATCCTCGACAAAATTTGCGGCCTGAGAATTGACCACCAATAGCAAATAAACCATCCGATAAATCTTATTCAAACTTCGTTGTATATAATTTATTATGCATATTATCAGTTTTACAAGTTGAATCTGTATTAATCAATACTAGTGAAACTGTTCATCTGAAGATATTCTCGCCAAACTTTCCTCCACAGAACTTTGACTCCCCAGCATCTGTTGAAATTAATAATTAACATTTACAATTTATTAAAGTAATAACAATAATTAAATCCGATTACTTACATTGTTTGCCCATACCCTGAGTCCATCCGCCAAAAAGTTCGTTATCATCCAAGACAGGATGACTATCGTAAATAGCATACCATAATGGAATATTAGGATCCAAAACCCAATTTTCATCTCCAGTAATCATACCCCATTGCCTTTTACTCTAGATTTGTAAATTATTAAACGTTAATTCTTGCAAATTGAAATAAATATGTAAATGTTTACGTACAGTGAATATACCGAATAACAAATCAGTAGATTTCCAAGCAGCACAGAAATTTGTTATTATTTGTCTGTTCTTTATCGGACCCAAATTCCAATTACCAGAATCCGGATTCACATATAAATCTAACCAAAATGTTTGAACTATTAACTGATTGGTATTAATAAATTGGACCAATTCATCGACTTGTTGCTGAGGTGTTTTACATGTTGAACTTCCAGTACATGGAGTCATATATATATCAATATATGAGTACCCAGCTTCTTTAGCATTCATATAATTTATTAACAAATGTGAATCAATCGCACCTCCAGGTATATGGTCATAGGCTTCAAAGTAACCACGAATAATAGCACGCTCATATCCTAAAATTCGGGTACATTTGAAAGAATCTTTTGTTATAAAGGTAGTAAATGGATAATTACTAATTACATGTGTTGCTAATATCTGGTTTATTATTAAACCGACCAAGGAAAAACTGACTAATGTAGTGAATACGAGTTTCATTTTATTGTTCGTTACTTAATTTAATTCTTTAAAAAAAAATATTACTATCATATCTGAGATTAATACACTTTATTTCATAATTATAAAATTTTTGAATAGTGATGTTAGCTAATGAAATGCGTAATGTGGCTATTTTTATAATTCTGCATCGTTTTTTTATGTATAACGACAAATATGTTCATTTGTGTAAATTTTGTGTAATAAATATTTGCTTATCGTCTTTTTTTTTTTTTAAAAAAAAAAAAACAAAGTTTTTTGTTAAATTTATTTTATTTAAGCACTATCTGACAATTTTTTATGATAAATGTTATTCATCACTTCACCAACTATCACTTTGGGATGCCTTAATTTCTCCTCCCCCAACTTCACATTAATAATATAAATGTTCTGCTAAATGAATAGTTAGTACAGCTAATTAGAAGTTGGGGAGTGAATTAATAAATCCCTCACTTTGTATAAACAACACTTCACCATTCACCAACACACAATCAATTCCTAGACAAGCTCATTTGTTTATTTCTTATAAATTCCTCTAATCCTTAATCCAATAATGTTTGAGAGATGAGCTTTCTGTGAAATAAGTTGTTTACGAAATGAGCTTATCTAGGAATTGAACCCACCAAGTAAGTTACGTAATCGCTGTTTAAAACTAGATCTAAGCATAACATTACAATTTATGAGTATTGTAAAAAAAAAATTAAACGAAGATTTTAAATGATTTTTTTCTTCTTTTTTTAAAAAAATAAAAATAATACGATAACATCAATATATCGATATATTATATTAATATGCTTTAGTGTTTGTAAAAAAAAAAAAATTCCTTCTGCATAAACCTGAGAATTTCTACTTAAATAATCAAAGATTCTTTTACTTAAATAATTAGTTTAATTATTGCCAGTACAGTATAAAGTATTTTTGTTTCATCCACTTATTTTTTTCAAAATCTTTAATGTCGTTCACCATTTTTTAAATAAGTATAAAGTTATTCGAAATTTCATAGCTATTTTTTTGTTTTGGAAGACTAATGGACCTTTCGAGTCATTCAAGCGCCTAAAAGTATTAATGATATTAAAATATATTTATAAAGAGTTGTTTCAGTATTTGATTCCTCATCTTATATTATGGCTTTCTAAAGTGACTAAATTAGCTATTGAATTTTCTTGTGTATTATAAGTTTAAACTGACTTTCAGATAGTTTCCCATAATATTTTTTTTGTTTCATAGCAGAGGATTTGCATAATTTGTCAATAGAGGAACCCATCAGTTATAATTCTGGTAAATTTTGCCGATCATTTGACCAGATTTTGAGCAAAATAATTCTAAATTGGCCAAATGATCTGCAAATTTACCAGAATTATAACTTGATGGGTTTCTCGCTGATATGATTACGTATCACTTGAAACAATAAATATTGATAATCTCAGTTTACTATGCAACAACCCGTACTTTTTGACATGGTCTACGAATAAGCTACGTGCGATTGAAATAAGTTGTGGCTAGTTCTTGATAACAACTAGCATTGTTGCACGAGAATAAAGATAACATGTCTTTTATTATATTATTAAAAACAGACGGTTTTGGATTATACGTACTTGCGACCTGAAACTATTTTTCTTTTCTAAAGGTTTCGGTTTTTCAATATTTACAGTTGTTCTCAGACAACTGCTAAAAAAATTGATGTCAATTTCAATAAGTTTTTTTTTTTATCGGCCGATAAAAAAAAACTTATCGAATCAGCATCAATTTTTGTATATTAAAACCGATTTAACTCGAATTTGAAGTTTAATTGTACAAACCGGTTCCGACTTCTACTAGACTCACCTAGTATCACCACCAAATCAGTTACGGAATTTAAACCGTAATATTTCTTAAAATTATGAATTTTCAAAATAAAAAACGTGTGAGTGTCTAAATCGTATAAACAAAAGAAAAAAGAAAACGTGACGTATAATATGTGGATGATGAAGGACTTAACATATGATTTATGAAAAACTCACGAATATTGAAGGGCAAAGTGCTGCACACATGGATCTTAAATAAATATAGTTATTTGATCAATAAATTAGAAAAAAATGATGCTGGAGAATTAACCCTCTTTGGAAGATGAATGAAGAGGTTTATTGTAGTTTTTATTTTAATAATATTTTATTTTCAGGTACACACATATCGGCGAATTTGCATAATTTGATCAATAGAAAAACCCATCAGTTATAATTCTGGTAAAATTTTGCAGATAATTTGGCCAATTTAGAATATTATTTTACTCAAAATCTGTCAAATGATCGGCAAATTGTACCAGAATTACGACATCAGAAAATTTTATATGGCGAGTAACTTCAAAGATTGTCAATACTCCGAAAATATGCACTTCGAAATTTCTAAAAAGATGATATGCACTTTAAAAATATTGTATTTGTGACGACTTATGAACAAAAAAATGCAGTTGCGATGATCCACACCCTGGAAAAATTTTTTTAAACGCGTTCAATTATATATAGTACTTTTGATAAGTCTCGATTTTAAAAATATGCGCTTGCCTGTATTGTCGCAAAAAATACTTTAAAATATAATTTGCGACAATAACTACCTTTCTTTTATTTGTAGTTTATCGTTTATTATTTTAGGCAACTTTTTAACCGACTCTAAATTAATTATCTACAAAGTTTGTGAAAATGTTTTCAAGGTTTGAATCCAATTTAGTAAATAATTACTCAAGCGATATATATATGTTGTAAGTGGATTCGGAATTCTGTAGATTCCGAATCCACTTAAGTGAATACTGAATCCACTTAATTTGATTTGGAATCTTAAATCAACATGAGTGGAAACAGAGTTTTAAAAACTATCGATTAAAATTT